GTCTTAAAAATCTTGTAGCGGCAGAATGTAGCAGATGAACTCCATCTTCCAATATTCATAAAATAAATATTTCCAAAACCTACTGATCTTATAGACAAGAAGAAGATCTAATGTAATGAACAACTTTCACTGGATTAACTTCCATTATTATCAATAAAACCTTAAATCTTTCACTTCAACACTGTGGAAGATATCCTTTATATTTCTGTATGACAGTAGACTGTCAATCACGGAGCAGCAAGTAACTGCAGAAAAGTAGCCTGCTGTGGTGAATAAAGCCAAAACCAAAGAAACTGTGGCATGGCTTCTGTAGCAGACTCACCAGTTCACAACTTTCAGACAGCTCTGCAAGACCAGAGTTCCTGAAGTCCTGAATTCCCAACTTTGGATGACTGAACTGAAAGAAGTATGGCACACAGCTTTACAAGAAGGGAATTTCACTGCTGAGGTTGAATTGCTGGTGAGTGGAGCAGTTACACGTGCAATGCTGATGCACTGAAAATGCATAATAACAAGCATCTTCCAACAATTGTATAAAACCAGAAAACAAAGTGAAAAACATTTACTGCTAGTTGTTACTTTTCTATTCCTGTTGATGGAGATCTTGAAAAAAAGATACAACCTAATACATTGGATTTCAGCTTACTAAGATGTAACTCAAGCAGTAGCCTGGACACAGCCTATTACTTCTAATGTTAACATTAAGGGCATTCACTCACCTGCAAAACAAGCGTATCAGGCTCTTAGGCACAGCCACCAGCAACTGTTACATGATTTGGAAATGTTGTTTGAGTTATTTGAGCAAAACACCGTTCCCCCCATCAGTTTTCTCAGCAGGAAACCATCCCACAAACAGCATACTGTTCAAGGCTAAAAATCCCAATTTCCCTCGTCCCTGTTTGTGCAGTGCTTGCTCCCTCACATTGCCTCTTTACCAGTGGACAGATGCTTCATCTCCAGATCAATGGGCCAGTGATTCTTTTACCAACATAAAAAGATGCTACAATTTATCGGTTCAGAGATTTTACCTTCTCAATTTATCAAATCTCTTGAATCTGGGAGCTGTTAACTAACTGCTGTCGGCTCTAATACACAAGCACAGACAGCCTAACTGTAAGATAGTGAAGAGGCATATTAATAGAAGTTAGTTTGTAGCTTTATAAATCATTTTTAAATGAGATGAAAATCTGTGCGCTTCCTCACATAAATAAAATTCCACTATTTATAGTAAAAAAATAGTGAAATGTTACATTTAGTCTAATTTAGAGTAATTTACAGTCTCAGCTCCAAGGGTAAGGATTTGCCTGCATTGCTATAATTAATGTTAATTGCAATCACCATCATGAATATTCAGAAAAGAATCAGTTTGTTAAAACAACCAACTGCAGTCCACAGTGACTTGGTCAAAACACTGCTATAGAGAAGCTGTGTTTCCATGAGAATCATTTCCCCATGGGGTCTGTTGACACAAACTATTTGGAAAGTAACAGGTTAAATAGGGGATAGACTGCTCTGTGCCAACAGCTAGGCAGAACATAGACTGCTAAATCAGCATCTATACAATGAACTCAGTGCAGCAAAGAAAAAGGCATGAAATGAGATTTGCAAAGCAGTAAAGGGGAGCACCTTCTGTTTGTCTTCCATTCACTATTCTGAAAATCTCATTCATGATCTCTGTTACTTATAGTTCTTTGTGCATGCTCATCATTATGCTTCTAGGTAGCAAAAAACTTCCACTTACTGTAAATGTTAAAACAAAATTTTCCTGCAATAGTAGTTACTCAGAAACACATTTTCAAAGCAGCATGAAGGCTTCCACTTTGTGACACATATTAACATCAATTGGATTCACACAGCTAAATGTCTCTGCAATTCTTTGCCAATTTACCCCTTCCAGAATTTAATTTTTTTTTATTTGCTTTATTTTTTAAGCATTTTCATACTGCAGTTTTCTCCAGCATAGTGGCTACTCAAGCACAGACACCGACCCTGGCAGCTGCTTTGATTTCCTACTACAGAGGAGGCCAATGTCTGTGACTTCTGATGGCACTAGTGAGAATTATGGCTGCAATCCAAAGGACTCATATATCCACATGATATATTTTCCAGACGTATGCATAGCTCCTAATCATCTTTTTATGCATAAATCTGTCATTAAGATACGCACACACTTCTGAGTTATTAGCCTGACAACTTTGGAAATGGCATATCACAATGCTTCACTTTAAACACTGACAGAGATCACAGGGTTTAAAAGCAGGGGGCACAACACTGTCCTTAGGCAAAATTCCCCCAGCTTCCAGAAGCAGAATAAACCTGCAGAGGTGTACAGAGACTGCTCAGGACAGCATGTTGTTAGCAGCTCTTGCAGCACTGGTGCCACCCAGCCAACCTCCTCTGCGATTATGTCCAAAATCCCACGTCACACACAGTGATGGGGATGCACACAGATGGGTGTGAAGAATGAGAATACTGTCAAATGGTATGAGACTACATGCAGAATGATCGTGGAATTACTGGGTTCAATATTGAGATGTATGTATTATGAAATGGAAAAGCTGTCAATCAGCAATACATGTTTTCATGAATCAAAAAGCAATTGAAAACTATTTTCACTTGATGTCAAAATCGCTGGCAGACAAACGGCATTGAAAAGTACAAGCAAAATCTTCTTGAAGTTTATGTATGTAACTGTTAAGGGTCTCAGTATCTTAGAGTGTCACACAGTAACTGCTGTAATTCCTCATCCCAGCAGCACACAAACATACGCACCAGACAGAAGTCAGAGCGGAAGCTAGTTTCAATGAATGAAGAAGCTACAAAGACCACAACACACTGCATATTGCTTTCAAACAAGAACTAAACCTTGAGTATGTATGTATTTCCAGGAATTCAGCTTTTTACTTCATGCCATTTTATATCAAAAAGAACCTACACAGTGTGCTACAGTATGCCTACATGGTATGGCTGACTGTCCATACGCTATAGAAGGTGTTGTCAGCCATATTTTGCAAGGTCCATCTTTCTCAGATGATATCTGAAGATTAATCCTAAGGTTCAGGCAGAACTGCTCACAGACCCTTATCTGACATTAGAAAAATATGACTAAGGTAAACAATTTTAACATACACATGCCCATCTCTCTTCCTGAAGGGTGGATAACGATAGGACAAAGGGGAATGGGTTTAAACTGAGGCAGAGGAGGTTTAGGTTAGATATTAGGAGGAAGTTTTTCACTCAGAGGGTGGTGACACACTGGAACATGTTGCCCAAGGAGGCTGTGGATGCCCCATCCCTGGAGGCATTCAAGGCCAGGCTGGATGTGGCTCTGGGCAGCCTGGTCTGGTGGTTGGTGACCCTGCACATAGCAGGGGGTTGAAACTAGATGATCATTGTGGTCCTTTTCAACCAAGGCCATTCTATAGTTCTATGATTCTAAAGTTTTTCCTCAAGTTGTGTAGGTCACCTGTACTCCCAAAACCTTAGGAATGAGCAGTAAAAGTGCTTTAGCTTTTGTAACATTGCTGCCCACAGCCAGCATCATGCCTTTCCCCTTCCCATAACTGGATGCGAGGTAACACAGGTGTCACTTAATGACAGCAATGTCTGGGGATGTGGTTGTGCTTGCAGACTTTATACTCGTGATCTCTGAGACGTTAGAAAAGCTCTAAAACCACCCGTGGTGACAACTTCGACAAGCATCCATTGAACACTGCCACCACTGAGAGCACAGGAAGCACCTGAGCCCTAAGTTCACATCTACCAGATTACACCTTGCATCTGAAGCACAGCTCTTATCCTTAAATGAAAATGAAATAAAGTGAAAGCATTTTGCCACACAGACATTTATCAGTGCCTGAAAGATACAGATATGACAGCAGAACGTTATAAAGCAGATAAGTACAGTAGAAAAATCTGCACATTAAAGTCATTTTTGGAAGTTGTTACATGATCTGATAGGTGTCTTATAAAACACAAATCCTTTCCTGAAAGATTTTATATGCATTTCTCTGCAGATTATGGTGGCTATTCACGCTTTACTTCAATTTTTATAGCCTCCAAGTAATTCTCCAGAATAGTAAATACAGTTATTATAACCTTCATAACCGGTAGAGGGATATATCTGAAGAAAAAGGGTTTCTCTCCCCTCCCACACGCGTTGAAGTAAATCAGGAGTGATTCTCCTGCAGTCAATAGGAGCATCTGTAAAAGTGATGCAGAACAAGAAAAAACAAAGACCGAACGGTAGAAGCACAGCTCTCCTCACAGCACACGCACAATGGCACGCCTGCCCTGCCTCTGGGTACCACCCAAGTGCCTACACCGCTCAGCTCCATCCCGTCCCTCGCACTGAGCACAATGGAGGTACAGCAGCCGGCGCAGGCACAAAGCCCTGACACGAAGAAGGGTGGTCAGGCAAAATACTCGTCTGTGCTGGATTTAAGCAGAGGGCACCGCAAAGTGCTGCCAGAGATGGCCGGGGAAATCCACAAACGATTTAGAAGGGAGGAAAGCGGCCAACGCGCCCCACCACTCTCCTCGCAGCCACACGCGCGGCACAGCGCTCCTCTTAGGAGAGATCATGTGGTAAAATGATGACTCCGAGTCACAAGAAAAATGTCTTTAAATCCTCTCGGGACTAAGGGCGAACCGCCGAAGGCAGAGCATTATGTTATCGCCCGGCTAATGAGCCGGGGGAAGGGTTATCGCTAATGGGGGCCGCTTCGCTCCTGTAACAACTCTGTTCTCAGAAACAAATACGCCAACTTCAGTAAACAAAGGGAGACGCGTCCTCCTCATCTCAATCACCCGCTCAGGAAAGGAACCCCGGCAAAGTGCAGGAGAGGTCGTGCCGGGGGGCTCTCAGGGAGGTGAAAAAATGAGAACAGGAGACGATGGCCGCGGTGTTCCCCCCGCCCCGCGCCCTCTGCCCGTGCCGCAGCCGCTCCGGCCCCGCACCGCAGAACTTGGTCCCCCCCCCAAGCCGTGCCCGCACTCACCAGCTGCAGCGAGCAGAGGAAGATGAGCGTGCAGCGCCCCGTGCAGCAGCCCATGGTGGCGGAGCGCCGCGGCTGCTCCTCGGCTTCCCTCCGCGCTGCCGGGCGAAGCGGGGGCTCACCGCATCCGGACGGAGCGGCCGCGTCCCCCTCCCCTCCTCCTCCTCGCCGTCCTCCCGCCTCTGCTTCTCCACCTCCTTTGTCGGAGGGGCAGCGGCCCCGCGGAGCGCAGCCGGCGGCGGGGACTCAGCCCGGCTCTGGGGAAGGGGCAGGGGCCGGGGGTGGGCGTGTGCGGAGCGGGGCGGGCCGGGCGGGGCGTGCTGCGGGGACGGGGAGCGGCGGAGGGCGGGAGAGGGATGCGAGGGGAGTGGGCTGCGAAGAGACTGGGCTGCTCCCCTCCGAGCGTCCCGCGGACACGCGGCTCCGAGCGGGAACGGAGCCCGCGAGGGGAGGCTTGTTGCGGGCGCGCGGGGAAAGTTCACGGGACTTGGGCGGCTGAAGCGGGCGGGGCGGAGCCTGTCCTACAGCCACCCGCCCGTGTGGCAGCCGAGGGAGCTCAGGGCTACGGAGGGAGGGAGCTCGAGGCGGGGGAGGCACTCCGACCCGTTCCTCGTCCCGGTGCAGGTGCTAAGGCGCAGAACCGCGCTGTGGAGAGAGGCTCGGGGCTGCTGGGGCCACGGCGCTGCCTCATGAGGCGCGTGTGTGAACGGGGCGGGAAGGGCAGCGGGCTCTGCTCGGAACCCTTCCTGGGCCGGGTCAGTTCGGCAGCGACCCGCCTTCAGTGGGCGCTGAGGGAGACGTAGGGAAGACCATGTCCCAATCGCTGAGACGTTTTGGCTAAAGGAAAATAGGTAAAAATACGCGCGTTCTCCTTTAAAGATGTTCTTTTTTTTACAGATGGATAAAGTGTCAGAACCTCTTCCTTTTTTTTTTTTTTTTTTTTCCTTTCCGACAAAGTACGGGTAAATCAGATGACTTCTCACAGGCATTCAGGCACTTAGAGAAAGTGCTTTCCCGCAGTCTAGCTGCTGCTCTGAGACACCAGCCTCTGCCAAGCAACGCAAAGCTTGCCCAAAGGAAAAGAGAATCTTTTGTGAGGCGTTTTAGCGAGGTGTCTAATGCCTCCGTGAAATACGCAGTATTGTATCCCTGAAAGAAGCAAAACCTTTAATTTATGCATTAAATGGTAGTGGCAGTCCAATAATTACAAAATTACCCCAAAGTTCTACTGTGTCATGCTACATTTGGAAAGCAGCTTTTTATGGGTTTTAAGTCAGAAAGCATTGTTACGGTTCTGTATGCCACACCAAAGGAACGAAAGAGAAACAGACAAATAAGAACCAGGTTCTGCTCACCCAGGATTTGTATCTGGCTGATTGTCTGTGTGAGGAGGGCAAATATACCCTGCGCTGTGTGATGCACGACAGCTGAATAAAATAACTTGAGTTCTGTATTTCTCTGTGCGGTTTCTGAGATAAAATTCTTTACAAGGCTAAACTTAGTAAAGTTACATGATCCGGGAATGTCTCTTGTAAAGGATGAAAGGGAGTAAATTGAAAAGGTGATAGTTGCCAAGAATACACTGTGCTAACCTGAGCTGGAAGCAGTTGTGGATAACTGCCTTTCTATACAGAAGGGTTAGAATACGTGTTGTCTCTCTGGTCTCTGCTGGAATAGGTAATGTGCTAGCAGATGCTTTTAGTTAAAAGAAATAAATAACAAGAATTTTGAGGTGGGTGAGGAACCAGGTAAAGGAAAGGAAACAACAAAGGGTTTTACTTGTACCGACCACAGTCAGATACTTCTAGTGGAATGAGGCCCATAACTCTTTTCCCTCTCTATCTCCGTGTGTAGTGCACTTCTGGGAAGCAGGTAAGCCTTTATCTTTTTTTCTTTCAAGAAAGCAAATACCTTCTGGCACTAGGGTAGTGTCTGAATGGAAAACCATGCTTTTGTTAAGGAAGAGCTGTCTGAAGGCCAGGATTGGATGCACAAGCCATTCTTGACCTGTCCACGCTCTTGGTTTAGTGGTCTGCCAAACTTTAAGAAACAACAAGCATTCAAACTGTCTTCAAGAATATGAATGGCAGATTTTTTTTTTTTTTAAAGAGAGCGAGAGAATAAGGAGTATTTTTGTATAGCCAGTTTAACTGACCCATCTTCACAATTTCTGAAATTAAATTCCAGAGCTGTTCATTTTTAGAGCTTGCAAAAATAAGTCAAAGAAGTGAAATCTAAAGAGTACGGGAAAAAAAGCAAAACCTTCTCCAGACCACCTGCATCCCTGCCTACTTCTATGGGATGTCGCTCTACTAATCTCTTAATATTGCACTGTTTCCCTTTTCCTCTTTCTGAAGTATTTTGCAATCACAGCTATCAAAACTGATCCTGAGATTAAAAAAAAAGAAAAAAGGCAATTTTCTGAAGCAGATTTTCTTGAGTATGAGTTTTCACAAACAAAAAACTGTTATCTAGTCAGGGAAGCATTACAAAAGTTAATTAACAAGAGAATGCTGTAGAACATGACTTCCACATGAGCACAGGGATCTGAGTGTTAGCATGTAACTGCCATACAGATGAAAGCACTCAGCATTAACAGGATAAGCTGGGTCAAAGGGAGCTTAAAGTTGAAGCATGGTAACTAAAAGATACAGGATTCTTAGAATATATCAGAGAGTGCAGTGTAAAAGTAGTGTAACATATGAAGCAAAGAGGAAGGACCATATTTTATAGAATTGTCTATCCATGAATTGGGTAGAGAAGGCGAGAATCAAACCGTAGAAACTCATTTCTAGCTCATTTCATAATGAAGACAACCCTAATATAGCACTGTGCATGCCAACTAGGTAAAAAATGGTGTAAACACTAAAAAGCCTTGTGGAGTAGCTTAATGCCTAACAAGATGCACTGTGTGATGCAAATTTAGCGTGCTTGAAAAGAAAGCTTGTACTCAAAACCTTTATGATACATTTATGTAGGCACAGCCATACCCTGATATAATTGTGTGATTCCTTATTCTAAAGCTGTAACCGTAGGCCTGCAGATTTGGTGCTTTTAATCTCACTGCATTCAAAGCAGAAAACCAAAGTTGTTCATTTTTATAGAATATCCTCACATACATCTACAAGAGGTGATACAACTGTGTAGTAAAGACTTTATCACCCATAGGTTTATTCCTACTCCTAATTTGATGGGTTATATTCTTCAGAATAAAACATACAGAAGTTTTCAAGAAGTAAAACTATCAGTAAAAGATCTTGCATCAAGAGAACAAAATAAAATTCATAGTATTTGACTGCCCTTGTAGCTCTGTAACTGTGTATACCTCTCATCTAAAAAACAATTCAATCACCTTTCCTCAACCTGCATCAGATTGCTGTGATCGTTGGCCTACACTTCAGAAGATGCACTTTGTTAACTACGTCAATTTGACGACAATAACCATCACAGAAAAAACACTTTCCTCATAGACTGACTTTGCCATCGTTGATCGTGACGATTACTCAAAGGCAACTACTGATAAGAATAAACTAGAGTTTCAGTTTCTCCCTTAAATTTAGATCTGTGTATTTACTTGATTTCAGACACTGAGCATTGCCCTACATACCAAGGTTAGGTAAGTACAGTCGGGGTCTGCAGAATCAGAGCTTAAGAATAGATTCCCTTGGCTTCAGATTTTGCCTTTAATTTTTATATGTAGTGATGAAAGACAGGAAATTAGAAGCTTTCTAATTACTGTCTGAGCTTTTCCAGAATGACAGAGGATAGGGGGATCAAACTACACCTCCTTATAGCTATCAACAGGTCACACTTTTGGCAGGAGAATGTTGTAATTGCTTAGAATAACATTGCCCTGCATATTCCCCAACCAGTTCTGAAATACCTCAAGCAAACTAGAAATCCCATTAAATTTAATATACCTTTAAAAACAAATGAGTGTTTCAAGATAATATCGGAGTTTTTCGTAAAACCTGTTTTCAATTTATCCTCCTGAAGACAGATATACAATGTAATGATTTAATTTTTCATTTTGATGTTAGCACCTGCTGCTGGGAAACCGTATTCTTCGTTAAAACACAAGTACTTCGTGGAATGGAAATGTATGTTCACCGTGAATGATGTTGGCTTGTTTTATGTTAACGATAATGTTTTAAATGACTGGGAGGAAGTGAGGGGAAGCGGGGACTCAGGACCAGAATAAAGGTTAAGATCTTTGCAACTGTCTCTGCTATTAAATACAGAGACAAACAGCTGACAAGCAATAAGGCTTCTTTATTGCTATTTGCAGGTCATTAGGTGATTCAGTTTGACTGATGGAGTGCAAATAAACATTGCTACAATCCTCAGTTTTAACAGGGAAAAGCTTGAGTGAAGGTACAGTACCAAGCATTCTGTAAACAGCCATTGAAAGACTATTATTTACTCAAAGGATAAGGGATATTTACACAATAAATGAAGCCTTTTCTACCCTCAGAGTGTTTTCTTGTTTTATAAAAGATAAGTTTTGGTGAAGCATTTCCTTAGAGGGGTACAGACACTTAGAATGTTTCTACTGACATTTCCACAACTAGAATAAACAGAAACTCCTACAGCCGTGGGGAGTATTTTTCCCCTCTGAAATCATGGACAGCTTATCAGGTATCCAACTGCCCGTATGTGACAACAAACACTTTCAGTGACGTGTTGTTTAAAAATCATTTTTTAAAAACATCGTTGTTTAAAAATATTTCAGCTGTCTCACTGTGTAGTTATTTATGTGGGAAAGTACAGAGGCTTTTCCTTCAAAAGACTAAGCTGATTTTATATTATCTGAAATGGAGTACAGAATGGGTAGATTTCCATCACTCACTGAGGCTCTCGCAATGGGTTTTTTAAAGATGGCACTGATACCAGCTGTGTTATTCACAACCAAAGGGTGTCTGAAATATTCTTGTGACGCTTGCTGCTCTCATGCTCTGCTCGGCTTTTGTGACTTGTTGAATAAGATTTTGGATCTGGCCATCAGTGATAAGCCCTCACAGGTCACAGCACAGGTTTTGCCACAGTGGAAAATATGGGCAATATCTCCTGTTCTGGATTTGCTCTCAACTCCTACTGAAATCAGTGGGAACTAGGGCAAGCAGTGAGCACGTGACTGAGGCCTGAAGAGCACTTGTGGGCTGAGATGACAGGTTGTTCCACCTGACTGTTCTTAAAGTTTCTGCTCTAAGCTTCAGTAGAGGCAGTATTTTTCTCTGAGT